CCGCAGTTCAGGAAGTCCCACACCAGGATAGTGTCGTCGTGTGATGACGACACTATCTGGAACTCGTCGAACTGGAGGCGGAACACTCGACCCGTGTGCTCCTGTAATTGAGAATTTAAATTGTTACATTTTTATATATATGTACAATATACTAGCTGTTGACCACTACTTCGTCTGCAAGGACTTAAAAAATAGTGATAGAACGTGAGTTTTTTATGATGAAAGAATTTAGAAACTGGTCCAGTAGTTTTTGAGTTATATCCATACGTAAAAAAATTCAAATCTTTTTTTTATAACATTAGTATAAATACCTACAATATGTACTTTTACTTAAAAACTTAACTAGCCTTTGTATTACAGACTGTTCTAAATCTGTGACTAATTTCATCGACTTCCGTTGAGCCTAGAGATATATATTAACAAACATCCATCCATCCAAAAGCAATTAGTAAGATGTTTATATGTAACCTGTACCATAAACAACTGAACTATGAACGAGTGAGGTGTCATTCGATTAGTATTCTTCCCCCGAGTGTCATAGGCTTCAAAATTATTAATATTTTGTCTTTATGTAGTGTCTTGTCACCCTTTATTAAATAAGTAGCTTATGAGGGTTTGATAGAGTGTCATCACAAGTCATGGTGCTTGTGGTACTTCTTAAAAAGCGATATTAAAAGTGTCTGTGTGTCATTAATGTATGTCAACTCAACTGTTCCACCCGAGGAGCATTGAGTGTGTCAGTGAGTGTCATGATTACTGAAGGTCCTATTACTGGAACTTCTGTGGAGCAGTCATAGTGACATCATTGATGTCAACGCGTCAGGTCTATTGTCATGAGTGTCATGCCTGCCCAAGGTTATTTTGAACTCCCGAAGAGCAGTTTTGGTATATTATTAATGTAAACTCGTCAGAGCTGTTAAGTGTCATTATGTGTCATGTGTGTCATGTCCTTTCAAGGTTATTTTTAACTCCCGAAGAGCAGTCTTAGTGTATCACTGATGTCAACTTGTCAGAGCTGTTATGTCATTATATGTCATGTCTTCTCAAGGTTATTTTAAACTCCCCAAGAGCAGTCTTATTGTATCATTGATGTCAACTCAGGGTTGTTACTCCCGAGGAGTGTTAGGATTGTTAAGAGTGTCATGTGTGTCATCACGCATGATCATATTGCTTGATTTACTATGGATCAGGTCTTAGTGTGTTATTGATCAACTCCTCAGGGCTGTTACACCCGAGGGTTTTTATCAATGTGACACGTGTGTCATATCTCAAGGTCATATTGAATTCTTGAGAAGCATTCAATCATTAATGTCAACTCAGGGCTGTTACTCCCGAGGTTGTTTGTGTCAGTGTGTCAGTTTGTCATGTATGTCATGTGTGTCATGTATGCCATGTTTTCATGTATGTCACGTGTTTGACGTATGTCATGTATGTCATATGTTTGACGTATGTCATGAGTGTCATGTATGTCATGTATGTCATGTATGTCATGTGTGTCATGTATGTCCTGTGTGTCATGTCCCCGGTGATAACTTACGACCAGTGTGCGCAGGCAGAGGTCCTGGTGCGGCGTGCGCACGTCGAGCGCCGCGCGAAGGTCCCACACTTTGATCTTGCCGTCGTACGCGCCGCTTACTATCCGCTTGTTGTCGAAACTGGAATCAAATACAAATATTTACAACATATTTAGGAATTAAATCTTTATGTGCTTAATCTTCTTGATTTAATATTACTAATGGTCGCCTAATGTTCGTATTTCAGCCAAAAATCTAATAAAACCTAGGATATCAAAAAATACTTTGTACCACGTTAACTACTTTAAAATATCGTGTTCATCAGTACAGGTATTTTTCTTTTAAAAGCGGTAAAATATTTTAACTATACAAGTTATACTTTGAAAACATTGTATGTATAGTTCAAAAATAAAATACTGGAACTTGAAATTGCCTAAATCGAGTATAAAATCACCTAACTATGTACATAATTGCCTTAAAAACTACAAAATTGCCTTAAAACCTACAAAATCGTTTGAAAAAACTACAAAATTGCCTGAACTAAAAGATTGCCTTAAAACTACAAAATTGCCTAACCTACAAGATTGCCTTAAAACTATAAAATTGCCTTCAAAACTATAAAATTGCCTTAAAAACCACAAAAATTGCCTAAATCTACTACAAATTCACCTAATTTAGTCAAAAAATTTGGCTAAACCACACTAATTCCACTATAAAATCACAAAACAGCCTAATCGAAGTAT